GGAGGAGGAGGATGAGGCGGGGGAGGAGATGGAGGAAGCGGAGGAGGATGAGGAGCAGGAGGGGGAGGAGGAAGAAGAAGAGGAGGAGACGAACGACGAGACGGAGGAGGATAAGGACGATGCTGTTGATGAGGAGGAGGATGAGGAGGAAGAGGAGGAGGCGTAGGAGGCGGATGCGGAGGAGGAGGAGGAGGAGGAGGAGGAAGAGGAGGAGGAGGAGGAGTATGAGGAGGATGATGATGATGACGAGGAGGAGTAGGAAGAGGAGCAGGAGGAGGCGGAGGATGAGCAGGAGGATGAGAAGACGGATGAGGAGGAGGAGGAGAGGAGAAGGAGGATGAGGAGGATACAGAGGAAGATAAGGATGAGGATGCTGATGCTGATGATGATGATGCTGCTGCTGATGATGATGAAGACGATGAGGAGGAGAAGGAAGTGGATACTGAGAAGGGGCAGGGGGAGTTGGAGGAGGCGGAGGATGAGGATAAAGAGGAGATGTGTGATGCTGATGATGACGATGATGATGCGGATGCTGCGGATACTGATGATGTTGATGCTGATGACGATGTTGATGTTGATGCTGCTGATAATGATGTTGCTGATGATGCTGCTGATGATGATGACGATGAGGATGCTGATGATGAGGGGAGGACGAGGATGGGGAGACAGATAGGGATGATACTGCTGCTGACGATGATGAGACTGTTGATGATGATGATGCTGATGATGATGATGATGATGATGATGCTGATGATGATGATGACGAAGATCATGATGATGATGTTGATGATTATGATGATGATGCTGATGATGCTGATGATGATGCTGATGATGCTGATGATGCTGCTGATGATGATGATGGCGATGATGATGCTGATGATGATGCTGATGATGGTGATGCTGCTGATGATGATGCTGATGATGATGATGATTATGCTGCTGATGATGGTGATGATGATGCTGATGCTGATGATGATGAGGAGGAGGCTGTTGATAACGATGATGATGCTGATGGTAGTGGTGATGCTAATGATGCTAATTATGCTGATGCGGATGATGCTGATGCTGATGCTGATGCTGATGATGCTGATGCTGATGCTGATGCTGGTGCGGATGATGGTGATGCTGTTGAGGATGCTGGTGATGAGGATGTTGTTGCTGATGCTGCTGCTGATGATGATGCTGATGATGTCGATGATGATGTCGATGCTGCTGCTGCTGATAATGTTGCCGCTGATGATGATGTTGACACTGCCGACGATGCTGCTGGTGATAGTGCTGATGATGATGCCGCTGATGACGACGATGCTGCTGCTGATGATGATAATGATGATGAGGCTGACGATGCTGACGATGCTGATGGTGATGATGCTGACGATGATGATGATGATGATGATGATGATGATGATGATGATGATGATGATGATGATGATGATGATGATGATGATGATGATGATGATGATGATGATGATGATGATGATGATGATGATGATGATGATGATGGTACTGCTGCTGCTGATGATGATGATGATGATGATGTTGCTGATGACGAGGATGATGCTGATGCTGATACTGCTGCTGCCGCTGATGATGTTGATGATTCTGTCGATGATGATGATTATGATGGTGACGATGATGATGATTATGACGCTGATTCTGATACTTCTGATGGTGATAATTATAACGATCTTGACGATGATGATGACGATGCTGCTGATGATGATGCTGATGACGGTGATGATGCTGCTGATGCTGATGATGATGCTGATGCTGATGTTGATGATGCTGATGCCGACGGTGATGATACCGCTGATGACGACGATGACGATGATGATGCTGATGATGATGATGATGATGATAAAGAGTATGATGATGCTGCTGATGATGCTGCTGATGATGCTGATACTGATGAGGATGATGAGGATACTGATGGTGATGCTGATGACGGTGATGATGATGATGATGATGATGATGATGATGATGATGATGATGATGGTGATGATGATGATGATGCTGATGATGATGATGATGCTGATGATCATGCTGCTGCTAACGATGTTGAGTATGATTATGATTATGGTGGTGATGCTGCTGCTGCTGATGATGATGATGATGATGATGACGATGATGATGCTGATGATGCTGATGATGATGATGATGATGATGATGATGATGATGATGATGATGATGATCACATGGTGGGGCGGAGGAGGAAGAAGAGGAGGAGGAGGAGGAGATCGAAGAGGCGGAGGAGGCGGCGGAGGAGGGGGAGGGGAGACGACTTCGAAGACGGAGGACGATGGGGAACGAGCGGGATGGGATGGTGATGGGGGAGCAGAAGGATGGGAATGGGCCGAGAAGGAGGAATTGAATGAGGACGGGGGGGGGGGGTGCTGGAGGAATAGGAGGATGAGGTAGAGGAGGAGGGGGATCATGCCGGAGCGGGGGGGGGAGGAGCAGGAGGAGGAGTAGGAGGAGGAGGAGGAGGAGAAGGAGGAGG